CTGATGTCAACCAAGCACTAGTCGAGTTCTTCGCCTCTGAAAATAAATCATTTTTTAAAAATGGCATTTACAAGTTGCCATCACGCTGGCAAGAAGTCATAAGTAACGATGGAAAGTATATTCTACAATAAATAGTATTAAATGTATGAAAATTGTGTTATATTTCAATTCAAAAACGGACAGAACTTTCCAGTAGACCTAATACTTCCGGTAGATAAAATGTTAAACTGCGAAAATACACGAACATTGGTAGGTCTCAAGACTTCCATGTTTTTCGAAACGTTTCTCAAAAATTGTTACCACTTTTCTCTTGTCTTCTCATTTTCCACATTAGCCTGCAGCATCCGAAACAATAGCAACGCTACTAAACGTCGAAACGGTGCGTTCGAAGGGTTCATATTTGTCATTCACTGTTCGAATTCAGTTGTCGACATTTTCCAAAGAAAGTAGGGAAGAAGTTGACACGAGAATCGAGGTTCGCGATTAAAACGGACCCGTGGCCCGGTTCGTGCGACGTCCACGGCGAAATTTATGGCAGTTTTTCCTCCCGTTCGCGCTGCTCTGTCCACGGTTCTTCGTCGGTGATTTATGCTCACTCGCCCACCCACCCATCCACTCCCCATCCCGGCCTGCGAGCCGGCCGCTGCTCGATATCTAACGCGTGTCAATTGCGTTCGAGCCTGTCGGAACCGTCGAATCGAACCTTTCGATTTGTCAGGCTTCTGTCGCATCCGCGGAATCATTTCCACGCCTGTGTCCGACCCCGTTCCTGCGATCCGAGTCGGTTCGATCCCGACGATCGATCGCGACCAGGTCCTGGAGCCATTCGCTGGAAGCCCCTCGTCGTATGATAATGACGTTACCGCCTCGAATAGAAACCTTTCAACGCTCGAAAGTATATTCCTCTGGGTGATTTCACTGGTCTTCCCGCGTGTGTGAACTGTCACGCGAAGAATAAGTCTCATCATCGTTGTGATTTCCTTCTTTTACCGCGTCCTTTATTGTCAAGAGCTGGAGGATGACGCAGCAGGTGTTTTAACCCTCGGCACTCCGGACATTTTTAGATTACACAAGCAACCCTAACTGCTCGATCGACGCTGTTGAGAAGCAAATTTTTACGGAGAGAACTCTGGAAATGGTCGTGTATTTATCTGGTTTTACAGTAAATTCTCTCTAATCGACGCTCGGATTTACGCAAAAGTGGGCAATTCGGGAGGAGCAGATACGATTATTATTTTTTTATAGTTACCGATTGTCAGCAATTATAAAAAGGAGCGTATCTGATGATCGTATCTCGTCCTCCCTAATTGTCCATTTTTGTGCGCAATCTGAGCGTCAATTAGGGAGAATTTATGGTATTTCTTTTATCAATTGCGTTTTTCTTACGATGGAAATCAAAATAATATTGATAAATATTATTGAAATAAAATAAATGTAACAAAATAATATATCTATTACTAGACTGTGGACTTTTAGGCGAAATAAAAATTGTTCGCGTGAATTACAAGAAACAGAAACTAAGTAGAAATTGATTTTTCCCTTCAACGAGATTTGATGAGCTAAAACTAGTGCATTGACGTTCTCGAACACTTTTAACCTATCCGCTGCTTTAAATCGCATCAACACATTTTTGCCATAAGTGCATAAAATCCGCAGTCTAGTTATTACTGTTGAGCAACGGTCTATGATCGATGCAGCTACGTTTTACGGTTCTTAATCATTTTCCTGATAGAACGAGACAACTTCTGTTTCCTGCACGTTTTCGTTTAGTTTCTTTCTTAAACTTTGACAGCAGAAGAATCAAATTTTGTTTCAACGTAGAAAAAAAGCATAACATTCATATTTGGTAGACCATGCGTGAAATTTTCATCGCGAGTCTGACTCGTCGTAGCGCAAGAGGTCAAGTGGATTGTCGTGTTTGTTGCCTTTAGGTTGTTCAATATTTCCAATGCACCCCGGCCAGCGCTACAAAAAATTTAGTAAGACACGTTTCCTTTGAAAATGAGTTACGCAGTGCAAACGTATTTTTATCATAGGATCTTTCCGTCGAAAAATCAATATAGTCGATTTCTTCATAAACAAACAATAGGTAGCAGCATTTATATTGACAACGGAACGACTAGATTAATTAATCAAATTAATTTGCGTCCTCTAAAAACGCATTGCCATTTTTTTCGTTCAAGTATTGGTTAAGTTCATTTTTATTTGATCTTGTGAAAAATTGAAAATTTCTTGAAGATTGTGCTTTGCATTATTAACACGTTCCGTGCCGAGCTTTTTTTACTCGAATCTTCACACTTTGATATTTTACTAAAACTTGATGTATTACGTGCAATTATTAATTCTCGTACACATAACAACGTAACAAAAACTTATCAACGCCCATTCTTGCAGTGGAAATTGATTCTTCGGTTCTAAATTTCTTGTAAACAATTTGTTCAGTTCACTAAGTAAACATGCAAGCGTGTACCATCGATGGTACACGTGGCACGGAACGTGTTAATGGCGTCGTTTACAGCTAATTTGCAAAATCCTTATTTGTGTCAATTTAAAGGTCAATGGACTTACAATGGACTTACAGCATATAACGTATAATCTCAGATGCGATAGTAAGACGACGACGAAGACGTCGACGATGACGACGGTAGAGCATCATTGTTCGCGATGTCTGACCAAAGACGTGCCTATTCTACTTCTCCTCCGCCGAAAAAATGCTCCAAGATATCAAACTTCAAAATTTGTTCAGAGATACTGAGAGTGTCTCCCAAGCTTCAGCTTCTCGAGATCAATGTCTCCGCTGATTCCACCCGAGGAAACTGTAATATCTCCGATTCCACCGTTAACAGAATCATCTGAAAAGAGCCACCGGCCGCAGAAAAGATAGTTCGCAAGTCCCATCGTCGGAATTGCCTCTCGACGAAGGAAATTCTCTCGACGCGCGTTCTCGATCCGACTCTCGTTTTCTCGTGGTCGTCGACAGGTTCGTTCACCGTCTCGCTCCGAGTCTTAAAACGATACTCCGCGCATTCCGCGGTCGACAATGCTCGTGCCTCTCGCAGCAATCAGCCTACCATGGTGCAGCGTGTGCAGTGTACGTCCATTGAAGGCACCCCGCGTCAAACGATTCCGGGAAGATCGTTTTGTCTGGCTCTCTGCGGATCCATTCCGACGAGGCAGCCAGCCACGCGGCCGGCATGCAGCCCGCGCTTCATCCCGGAGAGCTCGAAAAAGACGAGGCAAGAGGGTCGACGTACTCGCTCATTAATGAGAAATATTCATCCGACTTGGCGGCGCGCGAGCGCGTCACGGTGAAATCCGCGCGTGAAAGGGATTCGGAGCCGAAAGAGCGCCGCGAGTGCTCGCGAGTGCACGGAATGTCGTTGAAACCCTCTCGGAATCTCCGTCTTGCCACGGCGAACCCTGCCGATCCCTGTTTCATCCTTTGATGCCACGTATGCGGAATTTGTGCTTGTAATAGCATCGAGCATTGTTTTTTCTGGCTCTGTCCGCTGAAATTGCATCTGTGTTTCGCCATTATTCATACTATACATAGAAATACCTGTATGGAAATCTGCTGAAAATAGCTTAATTTTTCATTGCAATTTATTCGTAAACGGGAGTTTACGTTTATTAATTGAACAAATTCAGAAGTCACAATGGTCTTGAAATAGATTTGCGAAATACGGTAAATTCTTCATCAGTCAAGATTCAATTATCCGTCAGCTTGTAAACAAAATTAGACAATTTGGGCAGAGGAGATACGATTATTCGAGTCTCGCGGATCGTTTCTACAGATGTTGTGACAATTGGCGATTATAAAAACGAGCCGCGAGACTCGAATAATCGTATCTCCGCTACCCAAATTGTCTAATTTTGTTTACAAGTTAAGGGACAATTGGAGAGAATTTACTGTATATCTAACGAAACGCCCAATAAGTTAATATCTTGGCAATAATTATCAGCAAAAATTTGTTTATTACGCTGTATATTGTATAGCTATATATAGCTATATATATACATATATAGTATATTGTATATTCTTACCAGAGAAGACGAACTAGTCACTTTTACTGATTTCGTTAGAGCTCTTTACTTAGACGATTACAACTTCCAATAGGGTCGCAATTTTCTCATGAAAATAATTGCGTGCACTCTTTAAACGTTGATAAATACGTCTGTAAAATTTGAAACTGATGTCCCTGTCAATTTCGTTCAAAAACATGTCTTAACCCGCGAGATATTTTTGCAAAGCGTTCAAGCTAAATTATTAGAGTAAATTCTTCCTGATTCGAGCTCAGATTGTGCACAAAAATGGGTAATTTTAGTAGTGAAGATACGACTATTCGAGCCTCGCAGATCGTTTTTATAGTTGTTAACAATCGACGACTATAAAAACGAGTCGCGAAGCTCGAATAATCGCGTCTCCTCTTTCCAAACAGTCCATTTTTATTTAAAAGTTACGGGACAATGGGAGAGAATTTACTATTTATCTATCGAAGCGCCCAATAGGTTAATAGCTCGGCAATAATTATCAGCAAAAATTTGTTTATTACGCTGTATATTGTGTATTATTCTTACCAGAGAAGACAAACTAGTCACTTTAGCTGATTTCGGTAAAGCTCTTTACTCAGAGCTCTTAGCTTTTAGCTCTTTACTTTACTTAGCTCTTCACTTAACTTCCAATAGGATCGCAATGCACTCTTTAATCGTTGATAAATACGTCTGCAAAATGTAAAACCGACGTCTCTGTCAATTCCCTCCAAAAACGTATCTCAACCTGCAAGGTGCAGCTGTCCGTGAACATATTTTTGCAAAGTGTTCAAGCTAAATGATTATATCTCAGAATAGAGTTACAATTTTTCCATACAAAAGATTTGTGTACATTCTTTAAGCATCGATAAATGTTCGTCTTCGAAACTTGGAATTAACATTTCACGATATTTGACGTACGCGTCTGAAGATTATCAGGTTCAAGACTTTGTTTTTCGGTGTGCTCGCAGGTCCGGAAGAGGAGAAGCTGCTCGGCTCGATACTGCTGCCGTCGTACCGGGTCACCGTCTGCAAGCCCGAGGACAAGGTTAACAGAAAGTTCGCGTTCAAAGCTGAGCACGCGAACATGAGGACCTACCACTTCGCGGCGGACAGCCGCGAGAGCATGAACCAGTGGGTGAACGCGTTGACTCTGGCAACGCTCCTCCAGGACCCCAATCCGTGAGTGGTTCCGTGTTAATTTTCCACTGCCGATATTATCTTCCCACTCGCTCCTACTCACGCCAGGAAACGAGCCGCTCTCAGAGATTCGAGGCTTCCGGCGCGAGACACCGTTCCGTTCCCACGATGCTTGCGAACCTAGAACGCGCCTCTATGAACCAATCATCTTCTAGCGAGCAACTTCAGCCGCGTGCAGCGCCGAAATGATTTATGGAAAGTCTGCTTCCAAAGACTATGACAATATTGTGTGATCCTCCTTCTCAATTTCCTGTGAAAGAAAAAGATTAATGTTAATCCTTCGAACTCTAGTGGCCACTCTGAGGCGCCTCCAAAAATTGTTATATCCCGTTGCGAAATGATTTATAAATTATCGAGCTTGCTTATATTCTAAAAGATTGTTAGGAGTGTAAATATTGCATGGGCCATAAGACTCGATTTCATATGCATAAAATGCAATAAACATAATGTGGAAATAGCGTAGGTAAAAAGAAACTATTTTGGTTTCAGTGTCAAGGTAGCTTCGAATGTAAAGAGTTAATTGCTTCGATCGAAGAAGCTACGCGAATGCTTCTAGCAGCAGACGATTCCCTAGACTCCTTTGGATACAGTGGTATTTATTTTAATATGATCGTGAACGTTTAAACTTGTGTTCGAACAGCGTTTGCGAGTACAACAATTGTAGTGCAACTTTAAGAATTGTTCGTGTTTCAACTCTAGAAGCTGAACATAACCGTTTCATGCACGGAACGACTCTTCAGACTCTACAAACACAATGATATTTCTTTTATAACATTATAAATATTTAAACAGTGTTTGCACAATGTTCGAAGCGTTTACCGACGAAATCCGACTAAAATCTGATTTGAAGGAGACAGTGGCGTGCACAATTATATGTAGTTGAAGTAACATTTACATTTTGACTGATACTTAATCAAAAACCGAAAACAAACTTTATTTGTATATTTCTATTTTCTGTTATTTCTAATATAAAAGTATTTAATATAATGATAAAAAATATTATGATAATAATAATATAATAATAATATATAATATAATATAATAATATATATAATAATAATAATATATATAATATAATAATATATATAATATAATAATAATAAAAAAAAATAAAATATAAATAAAATATAAATATATAATAAAATATAAATATAATAATAATAAATAAAAATATAATAATAATAAAATATAAATAAAATAAAAATATAATAAAAATATAATTTAAACGTCACGAAAAATGTAAATGTTACTTTGGTCCTATTATTATTCACGCCGTTGTATGTCGCGAAAGCTAACGTCAGAGATCGAAAACACGATGCAGAAGCACAGGCTGATCCCTTTTCAGCTCATTTGCTCGCGGTTCCCAGATTTCCATGCTCCCAAGAGACGCATCGGTGTCGAAACCGAGAACGAGTACCGGGTTAATACGAAAAACCATTCGACAAATAAGGGTAGACGGGGAGCGTTCTCTTCAGGAGTGGAGCGCAGGAAGAAGGTCTCTGGTCTAGTCATTAGCTTTGAGAACGAGCAAACTCGAAACCGCTGACGGACCCGACCGGACAGATGGAAAATTCGTGCAGCTCGGACGCTGGCAAATGAAACGAGCGTTCGCAGTTTTTCACCGGGACAACGGGGCAACGACAACCGGATCCCCAGCCCCTCGGCAACTCCGGTTTATCCGCGGTTAACTTCCCAGGAAGCAAACTAACGAGTTGGGTTAGTTGGGCCGCGATTACGCGCGGAACGAGAGCCTGCATCCTCCGTGCAGCCGCGATGCGCCTAGGATGCACCGTGGATCGGCGCATTCGCTGCGAAACCAGTGCCGCCACCCCCACCCCGTGGGGAAACAAAGCGAATTTCGCATTCCGTTTGCTCGAACTCGGCTCCTCCGACTTACCCGACCCCGGCTAATTGCTCGGAAAATCGGCTGATTGTCTAATCACTTCGAACCTGCGGGATCCGCCGGTTATTCCGCCATATATTTTCCATACAGATTTTCGTCGGAGACAATTTTAAATAATTTTGCTGTTCCGCGCCCTTTCATCTTACAGATATACGGAGAGAAAATATTTTTGACCCGCAATTATAACACATTTGCAACGCAGCAACGAATGAAACACAGTGATCTTATCAAGTTTTTGGCACAGCATTATTTGAAGTTGTCAGCGCACAGAGTTACTTTACGATGGTTGCAATGATTAATTGTTTGCCTTCTTTTATTTTGCTATGCATTCTAAGATTGCGAATGGGTTAAGGGCTGTTATCATCCCCTTAATTACGACATAGTCTGATAAGCGAAATACAGTAAATTCTCTATAATCGACGCTCAGATTGTGCATAAAAATGGACAATTTGGGAAGAAGAGATACGATTATTCGAACCTTGCGGCTCGTTTCTATAGTTGTTGACAATTGGCAATTGCCAAAAATTGTCCATTTTTGTGTACAATCTGAGCGTAAATTAAGAAGAATTTACTATACGTGCGGAATATTTTCCTTGGAACTATCTCCCACGTTTCATTATAATTGACTAAAATCTGCAATTAGATCTTGCACCATTAACGCTTGCACCATCAGCGTCACACGTGTCCGACGACCGCGGTTCTTGTATCTCGTGTAATGAAAATGCATTGGATCGCGCAATGCGTCACAGAAAGATCCGCTGTATTTTAACAGAACACGACGACTCCGTGTCGACAGAGAGAAGACAATCGACAATTCAATTCTAACGTCTCCGCAAGGCTAAAGATGTCCTAACAGAACTGAATGCTAATTATTTCAGCGGCGCCGGCGAGGCAGCAGTGGTGATCGAGATCGCCGGCCAGCAAGACGGCGAACGCAGCGCACGTCCGAGCGTCTCGTCGATCTCCTCGATTCTAAATCAGAGCGCGGACGACAGCGACTCCGGTTTCCACGGTTTCCAATCTCGCGACGAGCCCAGCCACGCTTCCAACAACAACTCCAGCCCGAACAGCGTGAACACCGCCTCGTTCCCGAACCTCAGTGGCAGCAACAATTCGAACACCAACAACGGGAACAACAATGTGAACAACAACAGTGGCGCCACGGTGAACGCTGTGAACAATAATATCAACGAGGCTGTTCAGCCTCTGGTGAACGGTTGGATCCAGCAACAGTCGCAGTACGGGCAGCCTGGAACGTCCCAGCACCAGCAACAACAACAGTATGGCACGCTGATGCAGTCTGGACAGCAGATGCAACAGGTCTATCCACACCAGGCCATAATGCACCAGCACATGTCCCACCAGAACGCGGTGCAGGCCCATCATCAAGTAAGAATAATGTTTATTTATAACATTATACATATATATATATATATATATATATATGTATAA